AGATTTTTTATTTTTTCTCCAACTTGCGTACTACTGGGAGCAGGTGGGAATTTTTCTAAATTGTTAGCCATATTGTTTAGAGATTCTCTTTAACCTTAAAGTGGATAGAAGCGCGGGCGTGGTGTTGCAGGCCTTGCAGCCGAGCTCGGGAGCCACAGACACATCTCTGAGGGTGCAAGCCCAGCCTGGCCTACGTAGTCAGACCCGGTCTTTTAAAAAGGATAGACGGGCTGAAGAGACGGCTCAGCGTTTAAAAGGATCCGGTCCATTACCACATGGTGGCTAACAACCATCTGTAACTCCAGTTCTAGGGAATCCGACATGCTCTGTGACCTCTGTTGGTATTGCACAACACGGTACACAAACATACATGCAGATACTCATTCATACACGTAAAGTAAAAATGGAAAGTACTTTTTAAAAAAGAGTAGAAGGAGAATGACTATTTTTGGTAACCGTCTTGACCTACATAACTGACTAGAGCCTAGTCTAAATGTCGAAGATGTAGTTTCTTGAATTGGGAGTTAATGGGACTGTTTGCTTGGTAATGGGACAGTCTGGACCTGTAGGAAGTTCTCTTAAACCTCAGTTTTGTTGAAAAAAATGTCTGCAATTTTGGGGTAGCCAAACTTCTACCACATAACACATAACTTTGGATTTGGTCAGCATGAGAGATAGGTGAAGGGTAATATCAGGTCAGTGATGAGCCGGCATGTATTCTGAATCTAAAGTTGATTATTAACTTCTTTAGCTCTAGAATTACTCTGAGACCTGAAAAATACCTGAATCTGAACTAAGAGTTAGGATATTAAACTGTTGATGAAGCTGGGCATAGTAGTACATGCCTTTAATCCCAGCTGAGTCAAGGCAATCTCTATGAGATTGAGGCCAGACTGGTCTCCATGGTGAGTTCCAGGCCAGCCGGGACTACTGGGAGAGCCTATCTCAAAAGACCGGAAAAGTGTTGATGAGGTCTCTCTTATTTTGAAAGGGCACACCACAGAAGGACGTAACCATCAAGTCAGATGCCCCGGACACCCTGTTACTGGAGAAACATGCTGATTACATCGCCTCCTATGGCTCGAAGAAAGATGATTATGTACGTTTGGTTTTTTTTTTTTTTTTTTGTGGCCAAAAAGTTTCTAAGACTGCTGGTGCTGCTTTTGCGGCTAGGGTAACAACCTGCAAGGTCAATGATGTACTGGCATGTATTATCTGAAATTGCTGATGTGTGATAACACTTGTAGCTCTAGAATTACGCTGAGACCTTAAAAAGGTTTTGCCTGAACTCTTTCAACGTAGTAGTAATTTATCCTGGGAAAATACTGGCAGGAAAGTAATAAATTGGGTGTTGTGGCACACTCCTGTCATCTCTTAATGAGTTGGCTTATGTGTTGACTCCCTGACCTGAGGTTGTGTTCTAGGAATACTGCATGTCTGAGTATTTGAGAATGAGTGGCATCTACTGGGGCCTGACAGTGATGGACCTCATGGGATATCTGGATCGCATGAACAGGGAAGAAATCCTGGCTTTTATCAAATCGTGTCAACATGAATGTGGGGGGATTAGTGCCAGCATCGGGCATGATCCTCACCTTCTGTACACGCTCAGCGCTGTCCAGGTAAGCACGTGATAGTCCTGGTTCTCTGAGGACTGTAACTGTCACAGGAAGATGACACAAAGTCAGAAAGGTTCTTAATATTTGATCATTTTTATTTCTTACGTGTATGAGCATATTGCCTGCATGTATGTAAGTGCACATATGTCAAGTAGTGCCATGGAGGTCAGCAGATGGTGTCATGTCCCAAACGGGAGTTGACATGTTGGTGCTGGGAACCAAATCTGGGTCCCCTGCAAGAGCAGCCAGTGTTCTTAACCACTGAGTTATCTCTCAAGCCCCCTCAAAAAAAGGTTCTGTAGCTAATGTCTGCCCAACAAGGTCAGTGATGTTATGGCATGTATTAGCTGAAGGCTGACTTGATGTAAGCTGTAAAATTACACTGAGACCTTGGAGGGTAAATACAAATTTAGTTTGTATATAACTGGAAATCTAATTTCTTGGCATAATTGAAGAGCCATAGGATTGTTTAGTATTATGTCTGTATATCTGAGTTTCTTGGCATATCAAATTTGTTATGGAAAAATGCTTGTGCTCTGTGGTGTCCCAGCACTAAGAAAGCAGAGGCGGGTGGATCTTTGAGATTGAGGCCAGCCTCGTCTACATAGTTCCAGGCCAGCTGGGGCTACAGAGAGATCCTGTCTGAAAAAGACCAAAAGAAAGAAGGCTTGTGATTGAAGGTTGGGGTGACTATAGTCTACTGAGAAGACACAGCTCATCTGAGAAGCAGCTTTTAATGAACAAAAGTGCACATGGACGGCTTAGAGCAGTCATCGAGCGAATGTACAAGGTGCTCTGTCATTTGTCTTTCAGATTCTGACTCTGTATGATAGTATCCATGTTATAGACGTGAATAAAGTTGTGGAGTACGTTCAGAGTTTACAGAAAGAAGATGGTTCATTTGCTGGAGACATTTGGGGTAAGAAAGTTTTAGTCTGCTACCCAAACTCAAAATAGCATTGTCTTGGTAGTGATCAGTTTATAAGACTTTAAGTTGTTCGTCTTTTCAGGTCCCACTAAGCAGTTGGTCTACTTGGAGTAATGGTCTGCTGGAAGTTCAGCACAGGCCTAGTTATATCAGCTCACAGCACTGTCTAAAAGATGAGGTAGGTTCAAGGTTCGTCCCCAGTATTCAGTAGCTTTGGAAAGTTAAAATGGCTTAAAGGACTTTAACTAAAATCACTAAAAATTAAAGTTGGGAAGGAAGAGAATTTCATTAGACAGTCTGTTTTAAGGTTAAACAAAATACAGGCCTCAGACCAGCTGCTTTATGGGACATGAAAAAATTTTAAAAATAAGGTGTTTATTTCCAATCTTAATTTAAGATTTTTTCCCCTTTCTAACTCACTCTGTGAGTAGCTTAGGAAAAGTCATGGTGTTCAGTTCTTTACTTCCTAAGGGAGATTTCCATTTCCGATTGCCTCCTGGCTGCCGGATGTAGAAGCTGAGCTGGAAATGCTAGAAATGTGATGTGCTGGTGTTTCCTTTGTTGTGGTTTTTTGTTTTGTTGGGGGTCAGGGTCTCCCTATAGCCCCAGCTGGCCAGGAACTCACAGAGATCCCCTGCCTTTCCCAAGTGCTAGGATTAGAGGCGCACCACCACGCCCTGTGCTCTTTTTTCTAATCACATGCTGGGGCTTTGCACCATGTGCTCTGCTGACAGGTCTTCTGGCTTTCTTTTCCAGGAGAAATTGATACCAGATTCTCCTTCTGTGCAGTGGCCACTTTGGCTCTGTTGGTAAGTGTTTGCTGTTGTGTGGAAATGCTTAAACACTAGCGAATACACTATATAAAGTTTCATAAAATTTTTATTTTCTTTTCTAGGGCAGGCTTGAAGCTATTAATGTGGAAAAGGCAATTGAATTTGTTTTGTCCTGTATGAACTTTGATGGCGGATTTGGGTGCAGACCGGGTTCTGAATCTCATGCTGGGCAGGTAACTTTGCAACTAAAGTTTCGTGCCAGGTTTTAGGAGATAATAGGTGATAAAATGGAAAATGTGGGGTTATTTTGTTTATTTTTGTCTTTTTGAGACAGGGTCTCCTTAAGGCCCAGCTGGTTTGAAACTCACTATGCAGACTAGGCTGGCCTCAATCTTACAGAAAGTCATCAGCTGCGATTAAAGGTGTACACCACCACACCTCCTGGCAAAAGTTATAGTAGTAATTTTGTGCAGTAAATGTACAGTGAACACTTGTAAGTTAAGGAAAGCACTTTCCAATTTCGTGCTGCGTACACAGCTTCAACCCTCTTAAACGTTAGGTAACAGATTCAGTGATCACCTTGTTTACTTAGAGTCTTCATTCTTAATATAGCTGTCAGGGACCTGGAACTTGCTATGTAGCCCAGGTACACCTGGCTTTAACTTTAAATTACAGGGAAAAAGAAACATTCTAATCAAGTCTGTCCCAAGTGAGCACGACTTTGCTTGGCCAGAGAACACTGTATGTAAATAGTATTTATTGCTTTTACTATTAAGTTATTATACATGTGTACTTTATGTCTGTAATTTTAGATCTATTGTTGCACAGGATTCCTGGCGATTACTAGTCAGTTGCATCAGGTGAATTCTGACTTACTTGGTTGGTGGCTTTGTGAACGACAGCTGCCCTCGGGTGGGCTCAACGGAAGACCAGAGAAGGTACCCTGTGCTCTTATGATCTTGAGCAGATAGTGCTTCCTCTTAAGGGTGTCTCCAAGGGAACACTGTCCTGCACAGTTCGAGACAAGCAGGAACAGGCACATGTTGTCTTAGACTTTTTTTCTTAAGGACAGCTGTCTTTAATCTTGTTACATGAAAGAAAATAAACTCAAGTTTAAAAGTGATTTGTATTCCAGCATAGACCTTTCCCCCCCGTTCTAGGCTGTGGATTTGTCAGGTCTCAAAACTAAGCGCTTCGGGACTTCTCACCCATATCAGGTGTCAGTTGGGCATCAAAGGCTTTGAGCCGCTTAAATTTTTACTGGTGGGGGCTGGAGAGATGACTCAGCAGTTAAGAGCACTGCCTCTTTTTGCAGAAGACCTGGATTCCAATCACAGCACCTGCGTGATGGCTAACAAATGTCTATAACTCCAGTTCCAGGGCCTCCAATGCACTACCAATGCACTTAATGCACATGCAGGCATACACATACAAAGATAAATAAAAAATTCTATTGATGAGTGAAACCCATTTGGGATTGTAGGAAAGGTTACTGCATTTTCCCCCACATGCTCTATCTAAAAAAACAGGATCTCCTTATAGCTCCAGCTGTCCTGGAACTCACTAGGTAGACCAGGCTGCCTTGAACTCACAGATCTACCTGCCTTTAAAGGCATGTGCCACCACGCCCGGCTAATTTATTTATGTTTAAAAGCTAGAAATAGAACTGTATGACTGGAACTATATCTAGAAATTAGGGTAGGGACTGGAGAGATGGCCCTGTGGTTAAGAGCTCTGGATGCTTTTGCCAGAGGACCAGGGTTCGGTTCCTGGGAGCTAACAACGTTCCTTAACCAGTCCCAAGGGATTTTGACACCTATTTCTGAACTCTGGGAATTGGACCTATATTGTGCACTTATATGCAGGCAAAATGCTTATACGCATGAACTAGGGTAGCTATTAGGGTTGGTTTTCGTCAGAATGTTTTGTCACAGCAATGGAGAAGCAGACTAGAACAGTGCCTGTGGATTGGAGGTGGTTTTGACTTCCCTGGTAATCAGATTGTGGTTTCTTTGTTGATTGAGGTTCTCTTAGGCTGGCCCAAGATGTGACATTTGTGCTGCCTTGGTCTCCCTCCGAGCTGGCTGGCATCACTGCCTCACTCATCAGGCATTTAAGACTGCAATCTTGCTCACTTCTCACTTTCGGGAGATGGGTATAGATACAAAAAGAAATTTCAGATCTAAAGAAATCCGTAAAGTTGGCAACATTTTAATGATATATTTCCCCTTTTAGTTACCAGATGTTTGCTATTCATGGTGGGTGTTGGCATCTCTAAAGATAATCGGAAGGCTTCATTGGATTGATAGAGAAAAACTGCGGAGTTTCATCTTAGCATGTCAAGACGAAGAGACTGGAGGTTTTGCAGACAGGCCGGGAGATATGGCAAGTACCTTTTTAAAAACTTTCCAGTGTTAGATGACTTCATGGTTCTGGGCATTTCTGATTGTAGAGATGTGGCAGGCGCATCACTGAACAGTCTAAGGGTTGTTTTTTCATCACATTGCCAATAATATTGTTTGGTGAAGCAAGTATTAAAAACATCTCTTTCATTTTCAAACAACTACAGATCTTCAGTGTAAATGCAGGCTGTTGCTTTGCACTCACTGACTTTCTACAATTTCTTCTCACAGGTGGATCCTTTCCACACATTATTTGGCATTGCTGGATTGTCGCTTTTGGGAGAGGAACAAATTAAACCTGTCAGCCCTGTCTTTTGTATGCCTGAGGAGGTGCTTCAGAGAGTGAACGTTCAGCCTGAGCTCGTGAACTAGAGTCAGTGATGGAAAAGATGCTTGTATAGTGTTGTAATCGGAGCATTTCTGTATTTGAAGTGCTTAGCAAACCTGAAGGTGACTTGTTAATATTTTGTATATCTGTGTTAAATTAATTATAAATTATAATTATACATACTGTAAATACTTATATTGTATTTCTTAGTTTTATTAGCTCTGCAGTATTCTGAGTACAGCTTTATGTCTCTTACCAGTGGACTTAAAAGTTTGCATCCCCATGTGCTTCTATGTACTAGAGCAATAGTTGATGGGAAATGATTTTTGTTAATGGATAGAGTAAAACTTCATGAGTTAAGTAAACGATGTACAAAATTAAGTGGCTGTTGTGTGCCTATTTCTTTGGAATTGAGGTAGAAGACTTAGTAGGACTTTCCCTGAGGTTACAGGCATTAAATAGTTTTTGAGAGAGATACTTGGACTACCTATGAGTTTTGCAGGGGACTACTGGAGAAGAGCTGGTTTGGGCCAGGCTCCTGTAAGTAACCCCAATGAGATCTGTTCAGGTGGAATTGTTTCTTGGGTCTTTCGTAGAGTCCTGTGTGGTCTCTCCCCAGGAAAATTCATCTGAGAATACTAGATTCAAATACGGTTAACTGCTGGATCACAAATGAGGTAAATGGTAATTGTGTTGGGCACAGGTACAAGTTCATACTTGGATCATTTGGGCCTTTTTTTTTTTTTTTTTTTTTTTTAAGGAACTATTTTCACCAGTAGGGAAAACAGACTTATTTTGAGTCAGGTCTCCCTATAACCCCCATACTCCACTAGAACACTTGCCTGCCAATCCTGCCTCTATTTCAAGTGTAGGCATTCCCTCGCTTCTAGGTTGTGATCACCAAGGGTCAAACATAATGTATGTAGCTAATACAAGAGAGTTGTACAGACTCTATCTTGAGTGTCAGACCTTTATTCTCTCCCCTTATTTCTACATCTGGAAGGTGATAACTGAGATGCTGTTTGAGGCGTGTCTTAAGATCTTCCCAGAGATCACTGTCTGCAAAGTTGTAGTTTGAACTTAGTCTCTTCAGACCTATGTGTGAAACGACACAGACTGGAGTAGTGAACGGTTGCTTTTCCACGTGACCTTGGATCTTTGTCTCTGGTACCTACCACACAGTGCATACAACTTTGCACATGGAATCTAGGGACACCACAGCTTTGAGGACTGTTTGCTGTGTGGTCACAAGCCCTTCATGGTTAGATAGTGGGTGCATGATGTTGATGTAAAAATAAAGGGATGTAAGTGGCAGAGCACAGGTTCCCCTGTGTAGAAAGCTATTCAAAGCACACGTGAGCTGTAGGTCCCGGGGTCGGACTGCTGGGTATCTGTGGACCTCTGTTGTTCGGTGTGGAGGGATGTGCTTCAGTGAGGTTCCTGACCACCTTCCTGCACCAGGAACAGGTGTAAGTCAGGCCTGCGCTGTTGATGTGAGCGCTTTGCGCCTGCGCGCGGCTCTCCCGCCTTTTATAGCGCTTGCGCTGTGGGATGCGATTGCTCTGCGCCTGCGCGTGGCTGGTCCTCTGGGGCGTTCTGCGCCTGCGCGCGGCTCTCCCGCCTTTTTCGGCCGTGCGGAGCCGTTCGTGGCGGGGAAGCTCTGAGGCGATGCGGAGACCGGAGACCTCGCCAGCTTCGCGCTCCCCGCGTGGGGCGCCGCCCTTGGAAGGAGAGGTCCAGCTTCGGGGTCCGCGCCTCGGCCCGGGGCTCCAGGAGACGCCGCGCGGCCGCTCAGCGCCAGCCTGGCCCGCGCCATCCAGACCGTCCTCGTCCCAGTCCTCCGCCGCTGATAGCACGGCGGGGGCGGCAGCCGATAGGAGCAGCAGCAGCAGCGTGCGGGGCCGCGCAGGCAAGGGGGCCGGGAGGGGGGGGGGGACGGGGGGGGAAGAACCCAGCGCCACATGAAACACCTCACATCTGGGAGTGATTGTCCACGTCTCTTCCCAGCTCTCAGCTCGTGGCCACAGGAGTTTAGGCTAGCCTGGGCTACAGAATGAGGCTGTCTCAAATTCCAAATGAAACAAATCCCAGGAGCCCTGGCTCATCAGAATGGTTTTATTAAGACACTGGATGATGGTGGCGGTACTCGTGTGTGCATGTGCGTGTGTATGCACACGCGCCTGAAGGTCCTAGGCTGACCTTGGGAGCCCTTGATTCTGCCCTTCACCCAGTCCAGCCCGGAGCTCATCAGATCAGGTAGTCTGCCTGGCCCCTTGTTCCTGAGAATCCTGTTCATCTCCCAAACACGGGGCCTTGGAGATGGCTGTGCTGCCCACCAGGCATGTGCATGAGCTCGGGGATCCCAGCTCGGGTCCTCATGCTGTGTAGCAAGTGCTGTACTCCCTGAGCCAACTCCCCCGAGCCCCACAAAACTTTATCTGGGTGTGGTGGAACATGGTTTTACTCCACTATTTACGATCCATGTGAGGTTGAGGCAGGAGGATTTTGAGGCCAGTTTAGCTACAGATTGAGACTCTTCAGGGAAAAAAGGAATCAAAAGGTGATTGTATTTCCTGGATTTATAGGTTTTCAAGAGAGAAGTGGGAGAACAGAATCAGGAAGAGATTATACAAAGTGCTTGTGACTTTTGCTGGTCTTAAAGTCCATGCAAGACAAAGAATGCCAAGAAAGGGAAGAAGGAGGGGCAGGGAACTGAAGAGCACTTTGGAGAAAAGCCGTGTGCAGAGACGTAGGAGGACCTCCTGCACGCACTTACAGTTTTCTGGAGCTGGGGTGACCCGACATGGGTGAAATTAGCACTCAGGAACAAATGAGTTTGGTCCTGCACATCCACACCAGGTTCTTTGGGCTTTGGTAACAGAGTTGATGGTAGTACTGTTTCCTGCTATGGGGAATTTTGCAGAAGCAACTCTTGGAGAGAAGATGATGAATTTTATTGTGGACATACTGAGTGTGAAATGCCTCTGGGACACCCACTTATTCAGGCTGAGACAACTGAAAACAGTGATTGCAACTTTTTTTGTTGTCTAGACAGTTATCTGACAAAAAGCTTCTTAAAGAAGGATGGAAGGAAGGAAGTAAGGGCTTCTGGGTAACAGTCCATGACAGTGGGGAAGGCATGGCAGTCAGAATGAGGCCGCTGGTCATACTGAAGCTGCAGAGAGAAAGGAATACTGGTCCTCAGCTTGTTTCCTCCTTTCTTTTTGGCCTGGGACTCCAGCCATGGAAAGGTGGCAGCCACATTCAGGGTGGGTCTTCCCTCAGACGTGCCCAGAGGTTTGTTTCCTAGGCAGTTCTAAATCTAGTTACATTGACAGTGAAGATGAGCCATCACAGTGATCTACAGTAAGAGAAGCTTGGAAGTGGACTGAGATTTGAAAGTTATGACATAGTTAAGACTGGGAGGAGGTCATGAAGAAAATACAGAAAAATAGAGATCAGTTGGAGGAAAACTAAGACAAATAAGTTTCAAGAAAGGACTTCAAATGTAAAGGGAGCCTGAGATCAGGAAACAGCGCTCTGGTACCCACTCTTTGCTCCTGTAAGCGTAGGATGCTCACAGAACATCTTGTTTGAGTTGTGCACACATCTCCATGATGATATCCCTACACCTTGTCTGCACTTTTGAATACTGCTTATCAAACTATCTATTGTCCTAGTCTGAGTGTGCCATCGATTCCTGTTGGAACCTGTACATAAAAGCTGCACTTTATCATCTTGTGAATATGGACAGACATGTAGGAACTGTAGAAAAACAAAACTGTATGGTCATTTGTGTCCTAGAGAACTCACAGTTGATGGTATAAGAATGAATCAGAGAGGCATACTGTTTAAAGAGAATACAGGGCTGGAAAGGTGGCTCAGTGGTTAAGAGCACTGGCTACTCTTACAGAGGACCCAGGTTCAGTTTCTAGCACCTACATGATGGTTGGCAACCATCCATGACTCCAGTTCCAGGAGACCCAGTACCCACTGCACACATGTACATTTAAATACATGCAGGCAAAACACAATAAAAAAATAATTTTTAAAAAATGAGAATAAGGGCCGGGCGTGGTGGTGCACACCTTTTAATCCCAGCACTTGGGAGGCAGAGGCAGGCGGATCTCTGTGAGTTCAAGGCCAGCCTGGTCTA